GAGGCGGCCAACGGTCCGACCACACCGGCAGCCGATAAGATACTTATTGGACGTAATATTCTTATTATACCCGACCTATACATCAACGCTGGAGGTGTGACCGTCTCATACTTTGAATGGCTTAAGAATCTCAATCATGTCAGTTATGGCCGATTGCTATTCAAATATGAACGCGACTCCAATTACCACTTATTAGGTATGGGTTTTGTAATGACAATCACTGGAACCGATGAAGTGATCGATTGATTTGTATGTTTAGAGAGCGTTCAGGAATCTCTTGAGAAGCGATTTGGCAAAGCGGGCGGACGTATACCTATAGTTCCGAGTGAGTCCTTCCAGAAGAAGATATCGGGCGCTTCCGAGAAGGATATCGTCCACTCCGGTCTCGACTATACAATGGAACGGTCGGCGCGGGTATGCCTTATAATCAATCACATCTTGTTATGCAGTACTTAATGTCTACTTTTGTTTTTTGTTACATTTCACAGCAAATCATGAGAACAGCAATGAAATATAATTTAGGTCTGGACTTAAGGACAGCCGCTTATGTGAACTCAATCGAGAAGATATACAACACGTACAAAGAGGCCGGCCTTACGTTCACATAACCGACAAACTCGCGTTTTTGTGGCTTTTAATCGCTATACAATTGTTTTTGATTTGATTTTTCTAATAATATAACGATTGATATAATTGTGATGTCTTTAACAGAATTGATAGGAAAAGCAATTTTGTTTAGTTTTTAGTGAATTAATTCTTTGAAACAAATTTTATTTATACCAATATGTTATTAATTATACAATACCTATAGTATTACTGTATGTGTTACTGAATTTTTGTTGATAATTAAATACTAACTTAGATATTGATAGTCATTCACAACAGCTTTAAACGCTTTCATCACTAAAATCACAAATTTTGAACAAATTTATTATACAATCTATTCATTCGCTTAATATATTTGTCATTAAATATAACACTCATTGCATATATTATTCACATATCAATTGTGATTTTAAAATAAAGCAATACTTGTCTCGAAACTAATTGAATTCATTTCAAACATTTAGTCTATTTTCTAAAAACTTTATCGTAAAGTCAATGGTATGAAATCTATTAAATTAACCATGGTATCGTTTAAGTTAGTCTGTCGACTTAATATCATTTTATATAACTATAATCAATGTTTGTTTGATGGTTACAATTAGTATAGCAATTAACAGGTAATAATTCATACAAGAATGAGCATCGTTTCAATGATTCATTTGACAGGGAAGGGAGGAAAGGGATGTCTATTATTGCGATGATAACAGTGTTTATGAATGAACGCAATGTTTGAGTGAAATGCGAGTCAAAGCGTTCAAAGAGTCGACGAAAACACTTCAACACAAGCAGTGAAACGCCGTTTCAGTCAATCGACACATAATTGTCATTAAAAGGCATTTAATTGCCGTTTAATTGCACTCAAGGTATGAAATATTGTCTCAAATATCACTAATTGTCTGAATATTGCTGAATACATGCACTCAATGGTCAAACAATTGGTGTTTCGCCAGCAAAACGCGGGGAATATTGTTTGAAAGCATTGAATTAGTTGTGAAAATGCCGTAAAAGTAGTAAATATATGTGAATTGTGTGTAACTATTGGTGTGTTTGACAGACAACTCAATCGGTGGTGACTGGGAAGCGATGGCGAGGGGACAGCAGAAGATTCAGTCGCAACAGAAGGCGGGGAAGAAGGCGGCGGACGCCAAACGGGCCCAAGGACACGACCAGAAGAAGGCCGCGCAGGCGGCGCTCACCTACCAGTGCTCTGTCTGTAAGGTTAGTGACCATCTCAGCCATTGAGTGATGATTATGTGCTCATAATGTGATTATGTATGACACGAACTGGTAGTCCCAGATGCCTGACCCCAAAACCTATAAACAGCACTTCGTTAACAAACACCCGAAGGTAACCCTTCCCGAAGAGCTCAAAGATGTGGTCGCGTAATGCCAATGACGGCCCACCGCACCACCAATCCATTCAATTCATACGATTTTGTCTATATTTCTAACGATTACTACATCTAAACACCTCTCGAGGAACCCGTTCTTATGGCACATAAACCTGTTGTGTGTCTATCGTATCGACTCATCCGTCAAACTATTGTTTCGTTTTTTCTGTGAATTAAAAATAACTTTTTGTTGAA